GATGGAGAAGGGGATCGGGCCAAAAATTTGTTTTGATTAAGATCGGCCAATATTTAACGGGTCAAATGAACTCTGACTTGCATTATATGGCGTATATATTTACCCCAAAAGGATATGGATCGAATAAGTTGACAACAGTATATCTAAGATGAGTGGTTGACCTTTAAGTTGATACCAATATTATCCACTCGGGTGTTAATATTTACAGGAGTCTACTGTGCTGATAAACAATATCAAAAATATGTATTACCATTACCACACTAGAGGGCGGAAATGTAGCGTTGATGGCTAGGAAATTTTCCTGGAGTTTCAAGAGGGTGCAAATATCGCGAAATATAGCCGAGGCTCAGAATATAGAACTGCAGAAAGTTAGATTTTCGTGGTAGTTGTGTAGGGTATCATATGGTCGGCTCCGCCCGACTATACTGGTCCGCTCACTGGATTTATATGGCAATGTTGTTCTGATTACCGTTCCGTTTGATTTTTGGCCGAAACAAACAGTCGTACTCGGTCTCCGCTGACGTTTCCCTCTTTCCTCTACCAATGAGGTGATAAAAGAAAAATCGTTTAATGAATATTTTCATAAAATTTACAAATTTCCAAAAACTGTAAACATTTCATTAATATCACAACTATTTTCCAACTTCGCTGTACTTTATCACTATTTCCACTCATTTTTTCTCTATCTCTCACTTTTTTTAGACACAATAAAAAAACACAAACACCATTTATTTTTGGGCTGTGTTTTGGTATCGTACTCCTCCTCTCCCCTTACATAGTGTTTGTTATTTTTGCAACCGTTTATATGACTACTGTTTCTGTTGCTAACAACCGCCAACTTTCCTCTCACTCGATTGTGACTAGTTTTGTATTCCATTGCTACTTTATTTCACTCTTACCGACCTATGCATTGGTGTTACAAAATTCGCATATGTATTTTCCTAATTATTTTGATATAAACAATTGATATCAAGCCCAATTAAAGGTTGAACATTGTAAAGAGTTGTTCTAATGACGTAGAACATGAACATGGAAGTAAATAAGAATAAACGAGACAATACACTACGAAGAAGACATAAAGTCAAAATAGAAAAATTAAAACGACAAAGAATTGCTGGCCATAGAAACCCGCCACCACCACCAAACTCACACTTTCTCTCTGATTTCTTGTTTTCACTCTCTCTGACAAGAAATCGGTATTTAAAGTTTTATGAATTGCATTCATAAAATGCAGAAATGTCGACGTTGGCAACACTTTATGAACACTGTTCATATAATAAAAGAATTATTTTATTCAGTCTATTATTGATGAATAAATAAACGCTTTAATTTTTCATGAGACTCAGAGTAAAGGTCTCACATTTATCCGAACAATCTGATTCACTTTCGTTTGGATTTAGATCCTATATTAAATTGCTCTGTCAGTCCGATCGGCTACGTGAGTGGAGTCCGATGAAATGGTGCACCAATCATGTATAATATGCAATCTAAATCCCAAAAGCATATCATTAACACACCCAAATCGGTATAAGATATAATATTTGGTCCTATCCCCATCACGCATTTTTAAATTCCCAATAAATTAAATAATAAAACACACACAATCGATATATTTACAATCATTTTTATCTACAATATTTCATAAATACTATGGCTAAATAACAATTTTAATTCTATTGAACAACATTTTTCAAATAATTTAATAAGGATTCACTTCAAAATCTAAACGTCTGCGTGCTGGCGTTGGTGGTGGGGCCTTGTGCATGGTCAGTAAGTGATGCAGTAGTTCGATGCGATAAATTTCCACTTTTACTTTTGATGATTTTTCAACACTTTCAATGTCATCTTTATTGAAAGTGTTGATTTGTTTCTTATTGAAAACATAGCCAACAGGAGTTCGTGGACTTTCACTAGATGTTGTGGTTGTTGTTTTGTCAAGGTTTTTATTGGATGTGATAGTCAAGAGAAGTGTTTTCTCCATTATCAGGCCTTCAGTGGAAGAAGGAATTGTTTTCGATGCCTCCGTCTTGTTGTGAGTGTTTTGAACTTTCAATGCTCGCTTTCTTTGTTCCCTTTTAAGTTTAATTTGTGCCAACGATTTTTGTAGATCGGACTTGGGCTCTTTTATGCTCTCGATTAGTTTTATTGTATTATTTTCCATATTGAATGTTACGGATTTTTTCATATCTGTCATTTCATCGCTATTCGTCGATTGACTTGATTTGACCTTTAGCAATGATGATTTTTTGATATTGATATCGGCAGTGTTTGATGACGACGATGTTGTTGATGTCGTGGATGAAGTTCCAGACGACGATGATGATATTGAGCTTTGCATTGTAGCCGCTTCCAATTGTTCTTGTATTGTCTTTGTAGTCCTTGATTTGCATTTCAGACGTTCACATGTACGACATTTATGTCTTCTGATGTGCAACTTTTGAAATTCTGTGGCAGCCACGGATGGCGACAAAGACTGCAATGATGCTGTAATCATAAGCCGGGGACTTTGACTTTTCAATTTAATGCCTTCTTGATCGTTGGGTAAACTCAAAGCTTCGTATACAATTTTCACTACTTTTACAATGACAAAGAAAATACCAATCATGGATTTCATGACATTATCCGCGGTATCTTTGTTAGCATTCTTATTCGAGGATGAGGAATGAGTTTCACTTAGAATCGGACTCATGTTTTTCTGGTGTTCTTACAAATTGTGTAATCGCCTTGCAATTCCAATAGCAAATGACTGACTTTCCGTGAGCTGTAATAATATTTATATGTGTGATGGCGGGTCACTCTTAAAGTGGAACCTCTGTAGGTATTTACCTGGCTGGCGTTCTTCATTTATATCGACCTGGCTTGCACAATTGTATTGCCCAATATTTGGAAAATATAACTAATCGATTAGAGGTCATAAAATGGATTATGTCCATTATTCTTCTTACCTATCTTACCTTGTATTATTACTGGATTAAGGGTTAAACAAAAACGAAATTCTGGCTTAGCACCACATAATTCTAGCAGGTAGGTGGCTTATGGTAGATTTTAATTAGTACATGTAATTATAGGTAGATCTTATAACCCTTTATTATTATTGAAGGAGTCATGATGATGATACCAAGGATTTGTTGTGCTGAGTACTAAGATTATATTTCAAATTTAATTACTTAACACATATTGATTTTTTTTTTACATAATAAATTGTTTTTGTGTTGTAAATCGATTATCTTTACAACATGAGTCTATTATTTATGTCTTGTCTGGTATAGATATGGTTCCTATATATATTCTTCAGAGAATCTTATACATATAAATAATCCACAATTGGTCCTGTAGAAGGTGTTCAATATATGTAAAAATTATCATTACGGCGGCATTTGTTTAGTGGACTTCCTCCAAGATGATATTTCCACATATTCAATTTCAGGTGTTCAATTATGAAGGTGTTACGTATAGTAGACTGTTCTTCTACAGAAGGTTTAAAGAAGGTATTCTATTTGTAAGCAGCCTAAAAAGGTCAGTCATAATGGAGATCTCGTGCGTCTTTATCTTTCAACAGAATAATGATTCCAAACGTACTGCGCTGGATCCTTTATAACTATTCCAAATACCTCAAAACACTCCCTCAAAGCCTAGATTATAATCCTATTGAGAATTTGTGATCAATTTTGAACAAAAGTAGAATCATTATAGCATCATAAATGTGTTGCCAATAGTGTTCAGAAAGTATTGCCAATGACGAGATTTCTGCATTTTATGAATGCAATTCATAAAACTTAAAATACGGGATCCTTGTCAGAGTGAAAAGAAAACAACTTTGAAGAGTGTGTTTATGTTTTCTCTTTTTTGTTACGTCTTGTCTCATTTCCTCTAATTTACATACATGTTCCAGTTCTGCGTCAGTAGAACAATCATATACAGTGATAACCGTTCGGTTGGGCTTGTTGTTCGTATCAACACCTGTTTTATATTTTGTATTTATTATTTATATCGAAATAATTTGGAAAATACATATGAGAATTTTATAACACAATGCAAAACTAAGCACACAACCGAGTGAGTAGAGAGATGAAGGTTAGCAAATGAAACAATAGTTAAACGGTTGCAAAACTAACAAAACAACAAGTCAGGAGAGAGAGAGAGGCGGAGGATGATGTCAAAACAAAACACTGCCGAACAATGAGTGCTGGTGGTGTTTTGAGAGTAATACATTTGTTTTTGTAAAGAGACAGATAGAGAAAGGAAAATATGCGCGAAAATAGTGTAAAAATATAAAAGTAGGAAAATAATTCTAATATTTATGAAAAGTTTTAATTTTTTGGAGAAAAATAGTGGTTTTCTCATGACTATAAGAATTTTTACTTTTATTCTAAACGAGGAACATCAAAAATATGAAAAAAATAAACTATGAATGAAATTATGAAAATATTCAATACAATTTTTTGCCGCTTACCAAAAAGTCAATTTTTGTCTCTTAGTAAAAAATTTACTTTTCGATTTTTTCAAATCGGTTCAAAATCAGTTTTCGACTTTTACCGACAAAGCAAAATCGACTGAAAATTTATTTTTTTTAAATAATTGTTTTCAACATATAAAATAAAGTTCTAGAATGTGCTATTTTTGAGCAATTTTATGAAGAAGATCGGAAGTCGATCTTGAAAATTCGGCTTTGTGATTTCCTCAAAGATCAAAAGTCGACTTCGATTTTTAGACTTTTCAATACAAAAAGTCGATTATTCAAAGGTCGATTTACTTATCTCTAGATTAAACACTTCGTAAATTCCGCTCTTATTTTTGGTATATGGAAAACATAAAGAGGATAAATAGCGTACTTAATGGCAATATACAATGGCATAGTTCCCATGTAATCTTTCCTGGGCGGTGGTATATAAACATCGGTCCGGCCGAACTTAACAACATTTTTTATACATTTAAAATTTTTCTCAACCAACATTAATTAATTATCATTTCCTTTTTTCTCATTGCAGTGCTTGACCACCATGGATAAGGAACAAACGGTGCGTCCGGTGCCGGCACCACGTCGTCTATATCCTGAACTGCGTAAAAGTGAATATGAAAATGTGGCCGTCGAACTAATCAATAAAAATCTAAATATTAAATCGGAAAATTTACAAAATAATGCCAACAACAATGAAAAAGTACCCAACAATAAGGTGTTCCTGCTGTATCCCAATCTACCCGAAAATGACGATGATATAACACCAACAAATAATAATAACAAATCAATACTAACCGAAACTAATGATTTGTATGGACCCAATGCAAATGAAAATGTGACAATATATGCTGCACCCACGCCGAAACCAGCTCCCCGGCCACGTAAACCGCAAAATAATGAAATACAAAGCTATGAGAATACAATAATTCGACCGATATCTTCAGGCGGTGGGGAAGGAGCTCAGCAACAACAACAATTAAATATTTTAGATAGTTCTGGAGGTGCAATCAATAAGATAAACAATGAATCGCCAATACAAATAACACGTCGTGCCCCAGAGCTACCACCAAAAACCTATTTAAATTCGGAACGTGAAATGGAACGACGTCGTCGCTACTCCATTTCCAGTGAGGTCTCAACCACAAGTAGTTGTAACCGGGATACAACGACGGATTTAAAGGACATCAATTTTAAACGTGATAAACTCAATAAGTCCACTATGAGTTATAAATCGTCGAATTCATCGTTAGCCGATTCTGTGGAAAGTTCGGAAAATAGCAAATATAAATCACCATCACCCGGGTATGTAAAGGATGATAACTGCCAAAACAACATGAACAACATCAACTCTTCTGTTTACAATGACATTTCTGATCATTCCATTGATGATAATGAGGAAAGGAAGGGAAATATAGTTGATAGCTATATTTTGAATCGATCAATCGCCAGTGATAAGTAATATAAATATGAGCTTCACAATATTGTTTTTTTTCTTTGTTGTTAACATATGTTGATTGGCATGCAAATTTTCCCAAACGGGGTTTGAATTTTGAGGAATGATGGGTATTTTTGTAACTATTTTGTAATTAACCTAAATTTGGTATATTAACTAGTATGCGGGTGTAATAAAAGTGGTTGTTGAAATTAGTATTTGGGGTGTATATATAGATTTATATTATATTACTTAATTATTTATAATGAATTTCTTATGATATTGGGTATTATACCAGATGACGAAACAATGGTTTAATAATTTATATATAAAATATGAAGTAATAATTATTTATTTATCGGAAAATGTATTTTAGTTAGATTTTACTAATAAGGGCGAGTTAAAAAAAAATACGTTAAAAAACACATCAAAAATATTAGACCCTCCACCATGGGTTTGTCTTTCAAAATATCTACAATTTTTTTATGATGGCTATGCCATATTAATTTGATGCTCCTTGTATGGGGGCTATACAAAGACCGGGTCTTATACTGAAATGTTTTGTGAATATGTTTTTTACCCACCCATCTTGGACAATCTAAATATATACAAAATAGATGGAACTTTATACTTTATATTTTTTGAATTTTTAAACGTCAAATTTACCATCCGATGTAAACTCGTAATTTTATGGAATCTATTCCAAAATGTGGAATAATATTTTTAATTGGATTTGACACCTAAAATACGAAACTAGAGCTAATTTAGTTGAAAAAACCTTCCCAAAGTCCACATGAAACCGAATAATGAGGTGTGTATGGGGCTTATCGGAAACATGGAAAAATATTGATTGATTTTGTTAGGGAAATTTTCTATCAATATCTTAAAAAAGTACCCAAACTCCCCAAATAATCAAAATTTAAGGGCTGTCCTCATATGAGGACAATCCTCAAACCAGGACTGAAACATTCGCCGCAGCCCAAATTACTATATTTGTGTGTTCTTGACCAGAGCTCGCAATATTTAAGATAGAAATTTCAAATTGTTCTTGCCATGGGATTTATTGAAAATTGTCCTATTTTTATAATTTTTATGGTAAAGCTGGGATGTTCGGTAAGGTAATTTCTATTTTATTCCAGGATTTTGGTGGCCTTAGGCACATTTTCACACAGTACACAGTAATTTAGTACTACAGGTTGTTGGTTTGTAAAAACCGCCTATAAAGATCCCAACCTTTTTTTTTGTATGTTGAAAGTCCTAAGCGAATTTCCAAACCTGTATGTTTGTTATTCGTTCTTTCAGATGATATCTTGGTTCAATGTTTTGAAATAGGCCCTATGAAAGGGTCTTGGTCGATTTTAGGAATTATGAAAGACCACTCCATAGAGGAGAGTATAATAAGTTTCTGCTGAATTTAATGTATTCACATGTGTTTTTATAATATCGGTAATCAGAATTATTGTGGCCTTTAGTTTAGCGACTAATCAGATATATTGGGCAGGACATTTACAAAAGTCTTTTCTTATCACTCCTCTTATAGGGCTTCCACAACACATCGCCAATTTTATTCAATTTTTGCTGTATTTTTCCTTCTTCCCACTACACTTTGATATTCTATAAGAAGAACCTTTGATTCTTGAGAACCGTTGGTCTTCTATATTTAGCATTCTATAAGAAAATCATTTCATCATATATAAAAATAACATTATTATTTAAGATATTTTTGTTTTCTAAACTGCTTTAAGACATCTTATGTACAAACTAAATTGTGGCTTATGAGAAAATCGATTAACAGTTCCAATGAGATTCTAACCTTTCTAAATTTGTCATATTTGTCATATATAAACTAATGTCCAAATTGTGCCTTATGAGAAAATCGATTATCAGTTCCAATAAGATTGCAATCTTTCAAAATACATAACATTCTGTTTAGTTCACATCACTGCCAAAAATCAGTGTATAAAAATAAACTATGGGATGGTGTAGTAAAACATTTTTCCCCTCCGGAAAAAAACGGAAATAATAAAATTTATTTCCACATATCCCATCCGAGTCATCTATACATGCAGTTATTCTTCCAGACATCTCACATTGAAATACCACACAAAAAGTTCAATAACTTATTGCTGAGATTCGTTGAATTTCCTTTGTATGGAAATCCGCCACAGATCTTTCAAAACAAATTTACACATACACATTCACACATAAATAGATGCACACCAACTTCATAATTCACATCCCAACAGATGCTGGGAATGATCATGAAATCGTACCATCACTTTAAATAGATTACGGCCACAACTCGTACCAAAAAACAGCACGCGTTAAATATCAACAACAACTGTTTGTTATTGACACACCCATGACAGTGACAGTTCTTTGGAGTGTCGAGGAGAGGGGGGAGGAACATTAAGGAGCACAGTGGGTAGGGAAGGCCGAACAATTCAATGAATATACATCAAGGAAAACAAGATTCAAATAATATTTAGAAATAAAAAGTGAAAACTTTGTTATGTTGTTATGGCGGGCCGAATTATTTATACACTCCACCATGAAATGGACATTTAAAATACATATATGGGTGTTATGCCAAGTTAAGGTCGTCCCTAAAACTTGGGCTAATATTGATAGGGAAATTTACTTCCCGATGTAAACCTAGATGCGCAAATTATAATAATTTTCATTGAAAAACTTGGGGCTATACGGAAAATGTGGACTGGTATGTACCATTTTTATACCAAACATCCTAGGAGTAGTACCAATGTATTGCTAAATTTCAAAGCTCTATTATTAATAGCGTGTGGTCTTAATAATAATAGCATTTTGTCAAACATAAAATACAGTTTTCTTCTATAAGAAGGCAAAAAAGGCTAGGGCATCCTCATTCAATCTCACAACATGACCTAGCAGCTCGATACGTCTGACAATGTCGATGTGCGAGAATAGATATTACAACTCATGGTTTATTCGATGGCGATATTCACCGTAGATCGGCCCATAGATCTTTCGGAGAATTTTTCTTTTCAAACACTCCAAAAGCTGCCTCATATGCTTGCGCAAGTACCCATGCTTCAGATCCATATAACATTGCGGATAGTATCATCGTCTTGTAAAGTGCGAATTTGGACTGGCCTTGGTTTTAAATTGTTTACTCAGACCATAGTAGCATCTGTTGGCCTACACTATCCTTCTCCGGATATATAAAAGATCACACGACAAACTGTCACCTCATCAGAATCATCGTTCGGTATTAAAGGGCATTAACTGCTGACCTTGTGCCAGTTAAAGTTATCCTACATAGACGTAATAATTTCGGGAATGCCAAACGCAAACATGGCTTTAATCACCTCTGGATGGATAGGGCCGTCGAATGCGGCTTTATAGTAGAATGTGTCGATGCGTTTTTCGTGGATCATTTCCAGGATTCCTCTATAGTTGGCACAAATCGTCTTGACTCCTTTTTTGTGACGGGACACTATATGCTGAGGTTCCAATGAGGTTCTAGCCAAATGGTACTAATCAGCTGGTGCAAGCTTATTATCATCGTTTGACCATCGGCCTTGAAAAGTTGGCCTGGTAACCCATTGCTATTTTGCCTCATCTTGTCTAGGTGTATACACTCTATACCGTAATCTCTTATTGTTTCTGGGATATCTTCTTCACCGCCACTATTTTATACCAGAAGCTTTTCAAAATGCTCCTTCCAGATCCTCAACACCCTTCTTCCTTCTTATATCTCCTTCTTCATATCTACAGGAGGATGTAGAGATGACGAAGAAAACCTGGTGACAGATACAGACAGCTAATAAAAAACATCGGTTTGAAAAATTCGACTAGAATTGCCAGGGGGTTCCCTACAAATTATGTTTATCATAATAATCAGCTTATATTTTGTTGACCACCCAAGTTCCGCTGGTCCTGGTTTTTAAAGTAATTAAAACATAGTAATTCGTTGTCAATGTTCTGCCAATAGGTAATTTAATTTGTCGATCGATTCGATATCAAAACAATTATTTCAGCTAATAAATTGTTCGCCCCCTTAAAAACCCCGAATTCCAAATTAGAGTTCCATTCTGCTGGAAATGTGTTCATGACCTAGATTCAAGCTCAACAGGGTTTTCCTTCCCCGCTAATTATTCCAAGCCCGTTCCATTGGCTTTGGTTTTGTTAGATAGTAGTATATTTCCAAAATGCCTAAAATAGTTTGCGACCTCTACACATGCACTGCGTGAAATCGGGTCTATAAAATCCCACAAAAATGTGACCCAAACGAAAATTAATTTTTCTGCTATAAGTTGTTTACCCCACCCAACAGCGCGTAATGCCAAATTACAGCCCCTTTAATTTCCTATACCCGGTTATGACTATCAAAATAATCAAATAGGTCCGGCGCTCTATATGGGGACTAAAATATGCGTATATGTTTTCTCACTCTCTAAATTATGGCCCTTTTGTTTGGATTATGCTGCAAAAATCTTCAAAACACCTAAATGTTACATGGAACTATAATGATGTGGACCAATATTTATATGTAAATATCCAGTTCCTAATTATCTATGGGCAGTAGGTTCCACCTTTGTTCCACTCTTTGTTTTCGAAATGACACAACATTTAATCGAACAATTTAAAACACTGTGCACAGTTGAAGACGCCCTAAACCACCAACCGATCATACAACAGCAGCAGGGTTGATGTGTGAATGATGTACAAAAAAAAAAATCTTCACTCAGCATCTAAATTTAGTATAGGAACAGCGAGGGGAAATTCCTATAAGAGGGAAGAAAGTCTTTTACACTCTTGCATGCAATTTATTCTACTTTGGGATAGATGACACCACATAAAGACATAAATTAAATGGAATACGAAGAGACATGCAACTGTAAGAATGAAATTATGTGTGTATGGAGAATATAGGGGTTTGTGGGGAGCGGGAATGTGTGTTATCAACATATATAAAGTTGTAAAATAACAGAAAACAAGAGCAGAGCACAGACGATAATCCAAACATACATACATAAGTATTAGAATATTGGAGCAATGTTGTTTTTGTTGTTGTCGCTTTCTTGCTGCATTTTTCAAAAAATAACAACAAAAAACTAAAGAAAACAAAGTTGAAAACAAAGTTGAAAACATTCTCAGTCAGAACGCGATAGCGGTTGAAGCAACAACATTCATCCAGCCAGTCAGTCCGTCACTCAATCAGCTCCATGGTTTAATCAATTTGTATATTTTATTGTGGGTGCAAAATAACAACGGACCACCAATTTCGGTTACGGTTTCAGTTTCGTTTTTAAACTAGTGGTGTGTGGATATATATATATATTTTGTTTGCATTTTAACCAAATAGTGAATCATTATAATTGTGCTTATTATTTACATTCCAATACTTACCGAGTTCTTTTGTTTGTGTTTTTAGTGATCTCCTTAAATCATTGGGTTCAACCTCAAAATTACTCACCGAATCGATTGGAGAACGTGTGGCATCAAAGGCCAAGGGAGCCAAACATAAATTGGATAAAAACCTCAAATCATCGACGGAGGCCTTAAGTTCTATTGGAGCCGGTACCACTAGTCGTCTAAAGAAATTGGGAGCCAATTTCACTTTGACGAAGAAAGATAAAACAGCAACAGCCGAATTTCATATGGATAGACCACAAACACTACCACCTAATGATCAAGTTTTCACTGGCATAACCTTTACCAGTCCATTGTCGAACAAGGCTAAAGGCATGTATGATCTACGACAACAACAAGACGAATTTGATAATTCTTATGAGGTACCGCGTAGTGTTCGAATGCTTAAAACCGAGGAGGATAAAGAAAATGAAGCCTTGCAGCCTCCGTCCTACAATGAGGTTATGAAAACTGCCTCCACATCGTCAAATGAAAATACACCCATATCGAGTAAAAGACAAATCGCCACAAATCCGTTGGCTTTAGAGGCAGCCTCTAAGGTCTTAAATAAACGTTTACAGAATAACTTATCTGCTGATGATTCCGACACAAATCCATTGGCTTTGGAGGCAGCCAATAAAGTGTTACTCAAACGTTCACAGAATTCTTTATCTAGCAGTAGTTCTGAAACTTTAAATTCCAGAGATTCTATGGACCAACCTCCGTCACCTCCTATGCCCTCCATACCAGCTCCAGTGTTACCACCAGATTTTGCCAAAAGCAACAACAATAACCCTAATGAACCTGCCTATGGTAAAATAAACCCTGTTCAACCTCCAGTTCGCCACAAACGAAGAAAAAACTATGAAGATATACAACTGAGAAGAGAACTACCCGAAAGCAATATTAACAACTTAAGACCCAACATTGATTCTGCCGAATTACATGCCATGAATGCTGCTGCTGTGCAAGCGGAACGTGAAGAATCCTTGATTCTGAGAGAAAAACTTCTGGAGGAGGAAAAGAAAACACCACAACCGGATCGCAGTGATTCATGGGAATATCATGAAGAACAAGATAATGCCTCAACCTCATCTTCGAATGATGTTGATCCCATCTATGCCAATCAAGAAGTTACCTACGGTAATGTTTTTGAAATGGCCACCAGCAATAAAGACATACTAACACCACGCAATGCCCTCGTTCAAATATCCGAAGAGGAATCAGCAGATGAGACCGATTTGGGAGCGGTTGGTGGTTTTACATTAGTCGAGCCTTCTAAGGATATCATACAAGAATTTGATCCGTTAATGCATAAACGAGGCACCACCCTCAAATGCAATGATAAATCCAATCAATTGTTGTTGCTGGAATATCTACTCGAAGAGGACACCTATGGCAGTGTGAATGATCAAAGTTGTTGTGCCAAATCTGATGATGACATAAGTATGTGTACCTCAGAGGAAGACAATACACACATGGCCGCAGCCAATGAAGTACCTAGCGGTGCCGTAAAAGTACTTCCTACACCAAATTTACAAGAAAAACAATTGGAAAAACCTTCAACTTCCGCAAAACCTATGCAAATTGTCCATCAGAATGCCCATCTACTTTCCGATAGCAGAGAAAACATGCTGTCAGATGACTTTGAGGCCAGAGTCAAACCATATCTAAGTCGTGTTGATGAAAATCCCACCACATCTTCCAATAGGGTAGATTTAGGCAAACCTTCGCCTAAACGTTCGCAATGGTTTGTGGCCGATGACAGCGAACAACAACAAAAAGGAAAACCACAGGGTAATTCCTCACAAACACGTCCGAATCCCTTCAATAAACCAAACATAGAAGATGGTGAAAGTCCGCCTTCCTACCTGGAAGCCATTGGGGAATGCCCTTCGGATAAGAACGTCGATTCGACGCAACAAAAACATTCCTCTCAGGGTACAGCGGCTCGCTTTATGAATAACACAAAAAATGTTTTTTCCAATGTGAAATCTCATGTTGATGCCTTGAAGCGGAAAGCTAGTTTTAAAACCCAACCAAAGTCAGCGGATGTCAAGGTCACGCTACAAATGATACCACGTCCTAGTTTGTCACCACTACTCGTTCGCTACGAAGGACCATTGATACGTTTTCCTTCGGGTGTTGTTGAAGATATACTCAAAGAAATGCAAAATCGCAAAGCCATCCTTAGGGATCGTCAATTTCAAACATTCCTTGATCAAGAGATGAAAACTCCCAAAGAAGCCATACCACTCGAATACATTACGACACTGCAATGTGTCAGCAATAGTCGGGTAACGGATAATTCGACACGTTTTTATTGTTTTGAAATAACCACATCGATACCGAAAAATGGTAGTGGTAGTAGCAGTAGTTCGAATAATGTGCAACAATTATCAAATCCCAATTTGATAATAACATCTGGCTCCTCTGGCAATGTAAAATATCAACGAGCTTGTCATTTATATGGTGTGGGCAAAGAATCAGAGAGGTATGTGGGAGAGGAGAGTTTTCTTATTTGAAATTTGTAATCGTTTGTTGTTTCCCTTTTACAGAGGTATATGGATGCAAAAACTTTTGGAGAGTTTAACAAATGTTGTTCCCGTGAAGTACACGTGTCAATATTATAGAGCTGGTTGGTGTTATTTGAAGGTAAGTGAAGTACACGTGTCAATATTATAGAGCTGGTTGGTGTTATTTGAAGGTAAGTTCTTAATTCTATATAGCCACAAACTATTGTTAACGCTTGACCGATTATTTGCTTAAATTAAACTTTTTGGAAGATATGGTGGGATTTTCATCAACACGTCGTATATATTTTTTGGCTCAGGCCTGGAAATTTGATGGGAATTGTGATGTACAATTTGCAACGATTTTGCGGAAGCTGATTGGTTTTTTAATAGCTTTTCCTGTAATTACGGTGTGGGAAGTATTTTTACTGCACCACTAGGTACTTTTTTGTCTGCAACGATGTGTGTATTGTCTTCCTCTGAGGTACACATCATCATCTGATTCTAATATGATATTCTTGGAGGATTACACTAATGTAAAGCCACCAACCAGCCTAATGTGCTGATTTCAACGAGGGCGTTGTGTTAACTTCATGATTAGCATAGATGGGATCAACATCATTCGCGGAGGTGGTGAGGCATTATCTTACAATTCATGATATTCCCATGAATCACTGCGATCCGGTAGCGGTGTTTTCTTTTCCTCCTCCAGAAGTTGTATTAGAATCAACGATTCTTCAAAAACATTACAATAGGTAACATCTTGATTGGCATATATGGGATAAACATCATTCGAGAAGGAGATGGAGCCATTACCATTTGCATATCCCATCTTGATAAAATGCATATGTACCGTTGTCTTGGGAATGTTAGTGTCATTCCCAAGACAACGGTACATATCTCGCGCACACTATATCGCGGATTTTCTGCGAGCAGGGTGTTGATAAGTTCCGCATTCTTCGTTACTGGGCGGCCGCTGCGGTCTTCATTTTGCAAATCAGAATTGCCGGCTCTAAATTTCTTAAACCAATTGCGGACGGTCCTAATGGTCGCAGTACCACTCCCGTAAACGGTGCCAATCTCGTCTGCAGTGTCTTTTGCACTGTAGCCTTTTTTAAAGCATTGAAGCATAACATGCCATAAATTATTCGTTTGGTTCTCCATATTGAACGGGCAGAAAAACATTTAAAAGAGGCTTTGTCACCAACGAAACGTACTTTGAACGAACTCTGGGACGACTGAAACCGATGCCATAAACGGCTAAGAAATAAACCTACATGTTTATATAAGCATAGCCACTCAGACTCATTCATAGGCTGGCGCGGAAGAAACTTATGGGACAATCGAATATGTTTGTTGTTGTTGACATGGGGGTATAGGTGGTTCTGAGGTTGGTTGAGCCAAAAGATCTCTCTCACAAATATAGACGGATAAAGAATTCTGTGACCCTTGATGGAATATCTTTAAATCCAGTATATTTGTAACAGAAAAATAGCAGGTTTGGCATTCAGTTAACATTTTAGTGATACTAATTTGACTGTCTCCAAAGCCAAAGGATTTGTGGCGACTTGTCTTTGACTGTGTGGGACGGAGATAGAAATTATTATTTTCCTATATCCTATCCTTAGCAACTGATTTGAGTGGCATATGTTTCCATATGCAGGTTCGTTATAGTTAGAATTTATAGTTTCTGTACTATCCTCGGCTAAGGAATTCAAAGAAGATAATAGGTTTGGATCAGATAAATAATAAAGTTTTTGTTCCATTTTGACTCCTAATTTTTAATCGTAACAGAAACTACCTCCAGATGATATTCAGTTCACAATTACAACCTGTATTTTGACTACAAGTTATAATGGATATCGATTCTGCTTTAGATATTTTAGAAAATGTATATCCAATTTATTTTCTTCGATTCTGAAATAATATTTTCTTCTTTGTATTTCACAGAATTCAATAACCTCCGAATGGAGTGGAACTTGGTTGGTATTGAAGAAAACACAAAGACGTTTGATATTCGTGACCGAAGCAACAGGTAATGTTGAAAAGGTGGATTTAAGAAAAGCAAGATGTATTGGTAAGTTAACAATTGTAGCATAAATGAAATATTTTTTTAATAACAATCATATCTATCCTAATAGTTCTCAAAGATAGCGATGAAACGATCAAAAATCTTCACGTTGAAAATGGACCAATGCTTATGATTGACGCTCCACCCTTCACCGTCTACATGATTATGAGTACACCGAGGGAAACAAAAATTTGGCGTCACATAATACGAGAAGTTGCCCACAATAATGGTTTCACACTGGCCGATCAACAACTAACCAAATTCAATGTACCCGTTATTGTTGATAAATGTATAAATTTCGTTTACATTCACGGTTCAATGTCTGAGGGCATTTATCGTAAATCGGGTTCAGAAAATTCAATACTCAAATTAATGTCCGCATTTCGGGCTGATGCATTTAATGTGGAAATTACTCGCAACGAGTATAATGAACACGATGTGGCAAACGTATTGAAACGTTTTATGCGTGATCTACCCGAAAGGCTGATGGGTAAACTGTCGGAAAGTTTTATTTGTGTATCGGAATTAAAAACATCTGCTGAGAAGATACCATTGTACAAGGAGTTATTAGCACGTCTTAGTGTTATTGAACGTGAAACATTAAAAAAAATTGTTGGACATTTGGCATTTATAAGTTCGCAGAAGGCGAAAAATAAAATGAGCATACAAAATTTGACGATGATATGGGGACCAACGCTGATGCAAAATCATCAGTCGCAAGAGGAAATGGTCTATTCACAAAAGGAAGCCGATGTATTTGCCGATTTGATAACATTGTATAAGAATCTATTTCCATTGTCCCCTGATGAAATGGTTAGTATGTGGTTTGGTTGGAAAAGTTGTATTCAAGATGAAATCATCAGTAGTCATCGGACAGATTTACAGTTTTTCGTGAGCCTATTTCTATTTGTTTCATATTAGAATTTGAATTAACGATATTAATTCGAATTTCTTTTTGTATTCTTTATTCTAGAAAAAAGAACAAGAAATGTTGTTGTGCTTGCAAAAATATTATGCAGCAGCGGAATCATTGTCGGACTCAGTTAAAAAATCAGGAGACCTTAAAATGTGGATAACATTAAACCCGAATCCAGAGAATACAACAGAGGTAAATACAACATATCCACAAATTTCCGACCTCAGTTTATAAAGTATTTACTCTTTTAGGAAAAGACTCAAGTGAATGTCACCATATCACCGACAAAAACCGCCTATGAAATTTGCCAAGAACTTGCACCCAAAATGCATTTATCCACCCATCAAGTAACGTTGCACGAAGTCATATGCAATGGCAATTTGGAGAGACCCCTACATCATGATACCAAAGTTTTTGATGTTGTACTAAATTGGTCATATTGGCCAGAAGATGATCGTAAAAATAATGTACTAGTTGTTAAGCCCCTAGATTTCCTTAATGAAGTACAGCGGGCGGTGAAAAATCTAGCTACCGTAACACCGGGTAAAGAGTTACGTTTCGCCGATAACAAAACTAAATCATTTAAATCATATCAATGTGATTTACGTGATGGTAAAATTGTTGTCTCGAAAAAGGATAAAAACGATAAAACAACAATTGTCCGAGAGATATTCTTGCACAGTACCACTGCCTATTTGGGTTGTGAGAAAAAACGAGATGTCCCATGGAATTGGTCAATAACATTTGTCGAGAAGACACAAACTCAAATTATGAGGTGAGTAAATATATTTTAATTTGGAAATGTAAATATATACCGAATAATATTGAAAATTAATGAAAATGAATAAGAAATCAGAAGTATTATATGATCCCTATTATATAAGCAATAGCGTTTAAATTCCGAAAATGAGTTATATAACGTGACATTTGTCTAATTGTCTTTCATTGTGATATAATAATATTATTAAAATATTTAACAAATGCTTTTTTATTTCCCTTTATAGATCTCGCGATTCACCATTTATTGGTCATGTATTGGCTGGCAGTGAATGGGTTGATCGAACAATATGGTATTCCAGTATATGGTATTGTTTACATGGCGATAGTATATTACCACCAGCTGAAATTATAATCAAATGAAATTAGTTCGTCTAAGCATCGTACATATAGTCTTACTAGCGATTTAACGAAATATAATGAATTTAAAATTATTATTCTTTAAAAAAGAAATGCATACATATTTCATTCGTCAATTACCCGAACAATTCCATATTATTTTAAAACTACATTTACCACAATAACTACAAACAACATATTCTAATTGTAAATTACTGCATTTTTCTTCAATATTTTATCTTCAAACAATTTTTTTTGTTATTTTCGAACACAAGTCTGGAACTTGCCTGCTTTCAAAATATATTAAAAAAAACAAATCATTCTTTTGAATGTAAATATTATACAATTAATTACAAATTAAAAAAAAAACTACAAAACTAGATAGTTATAGGGGTTTAAAGTTATGCTGATATATATTATTTTTTTTATTAAAAATAAATAATTGTTAATTTAATTTTTATAATTATGTTATGCACATATGCAATTATTTTCCTCTTTTCTTTAATTAAGTACTATATTTAAATTAAATATAAAAATATATATATTTTTAAAAACGTATACATTAAGTTTAAACACCACTTTTACAATAAAAACGTATTATTTTTTGTTAAAAAATAAAATAAAAAACTTATATTAGTATTTAATAAACTTAAATGATACTTCTATGTAAGGTTGTATATGAACGTTTCGAGGCACTGTGACAACATAAAATCATATTGACAAATGCTCTTTCCACAGATCCCACAGAGTTGATAGTAAACAAATGGCCTAATGCTATAATATTGAAGAAGGAAAGAGTAAAAAACGGTCGTAAAGACATTTGTAAAATTTAACACTTTTGGAACCATTTAGGACCTATGTTCTCTTATAGTACTTTTTTACAAAAATACCTCCATATATCAACCCTACACACCAATTCTGACCGCAAAAGAAATTTTTGTCAAAAATTTGTTGCCATTTTTTACCCTTTGTACTCGTGTGTAAAATTTCCCAATTTCAAATATAGCTTCACCTAATTCCAAATTAAGTACCAGTTACTTAACATTAATATAAATTGGAATGGAAATCTTATTACTCAATTTCAGGATTCCAGCTCTATTGGTTAGCTTCTAATCCAAACTGTATCAAATTTAGTGCCATTTAGTACACATTAGTAGTAATTTCCAAAACTTCCAACATAGCCCAATCCTACACCCCAACAGTAATCCTAACTTCAAATTTCAAGATTCTAGCTCTATCGGTTCACTCAAATCCACATTTGGTACTATTTTGTACATATTAGAACAAATTTCCAAAACTTCCTACATAGACCAATCCTACATCCCAACAGTAACCCTAAGGCCAAATTTCAGGATTCCAGTTGTATTGGTTCACCAAAAATTTAATTTCTACCAAAATCAGTACACATTAGCACGAATTTCCAAAACTTTCTACAAAGCCAAACCCTACATGCCCTTTATAATTGTACAAATATGGAATGGCAGTGTGTAATAAAAATTCACAATTTCCTCTAACAATATCTGGAAACTTTATAAAAATCGGTTTAGTGGTTGCCGAGATATTTGTATTTCAATTTAACGATGGTCCGAAATACACCTCCTGCTCGATTCTGGTCGCCTATTATCTGAAAATTAAAAACCACACAAAAATCTATCTTTTAAAAAAGGCAAAAAATTGTTTTCATTTCATAATGTCCGTTGTATGAAAATTGTAACATACTTGTAGGGGCAAAGGGCAGTTCAAAGTGCAATTTCTTGTTGCTTGATATGTAGGTGTGATTGTATGTGATTTATGCACATATACAATGTAAAATATATTTACTTACACATACACACACTGTAGCTGTATGTAGAAAAAATTTCCATTTTTGCAAGATCGATTTTTGTGGTGTTTTTCATTTTTTGGTAATAGGCGCCCAGCATGGAATAGAAAGAATTTTTCGGAGCATGGTGGAATTGAAATTCGAATAACTCCGGAAATACTTAACCGATTTTTATGAATTTTGCAGCAATGGTTAGAGGGAATTCTGCAGTTTTATCACACAATGACATTTTATTGTTATTACACCTATTAAGGAGATTTTTTAGCTATTATCTTTTTGGGAACACTGTTTTTAACTGTTTAGGCACATCTCGTGTCTTGTTTTTCCGTCATACATCTTCAGTTTGGTCCATAATTTAACGATGAATCGTCATACAAACAATCAATGCTTTCAAATCATTGAATTCCATAACTAAAATGCGTACTTTGTTAAGAAAGTTCTTTGCGCGTTTCTTCAACTTTATGACTGTATAATCGGTCGATAGAAGCGGCTATTTTTTACTCCATTTCATATAGATATATACCGATTTCAATTTCCTTTACGACCATACAATTTGGCGAACGGAGTGCCATATATTGATGCCGTAACTGGAAATTTCATAAATGAAGAATTTAATGTCCTGGTTTTTGTCTCATAACATTGGAACTACTGGAGGTATTGTCATAAAATGTATGTCATATGAAAGGTAGGAAGTCTGACTATTTCGTGACCTATTCAAAATTTAAAAAAATGTGAAATGCTTTATTTGAATATTTATGTAGGGGGATACATTTGTATGTTATTACCTTACAAAAGTTTTCAAAATACAATTTGCCGATTCTATGTCAAAGACCAATATTTATCCTTTTATTTGTGTTAATAGAGCTAGTTACAGGCCATGAAAGACATTTCTGAAGCAAAATATTTTGCTGTTACCGACCATTCGTTCAATAGATGGCGTTCATGTAGGGTCTTGTATGGTGATGGGCAACGTCTTACACCAATAGATGGCGCGGACACCAATAGATGGCGCGGACGATGGGTTTATAAAAATTGCATACCTCATTTAATTTTGCTATAACTTATTATAATAACTCGTATTGCAGATAATAAAATAAAAGTGGTGTCATGTGGATGGTATAATCGTATAATTTCTTGTGAAATAAATAAAATTTTAAAATTAGTTGAATATTAATATGAAATTGGAGTTAAAGTTGGTTTGGTAAAGCCACTCAAAATTGTTGGAAGCGGATTTGGCCCAAAGAAACATGGATTCTAAAATCAACATTTCGATGAGGCAGTGTGTATGCCCTCATATAGTGTCTCATGTCGTAAAATAATAAAAATAGATTTTTTCATTCAATTTAATGCAAAATTCTTTCCGTTTTGAATGGCACAAAAAATTGAGGTTTATTGTAGCCTTAAAGAGGAATATATATTTTTAAGCCGAATTTATATCAAAAAGGGATTGAATTGAATTTTATAGCATGATAAAATTGAAGAAAATAGCTTCAGATTTAGATATAGCCCACACGTATATATTTTCGTCTGATTTCATCTTACGTCCATCAAACGTGGGATTTGTTCGATGGCGACGAAATTTCGTACAGCGTACCATATTAAGTCTAGAATGATATTTGTAAAGCATTGAGGAAATCAGTTCAGATTTAGGTATATCTCCGAATATATATATATATATATATATATATATTTTCGTCCGATTTCATTCAAGGATTGCCCGATTAAGACGAAATATTGCACAATCTTCCTAATTAACCCTTTCCAATATATTCGACATTTAAAAGCACTCTCTTTGCGATTTTTCGGTTATCCTATGTACCGTTACTATTGAACCTGTCCGAGGGTTAAAATGAAAATTGCTATTATTTCTAAACTCTATGGCTTAATATGATCTTAAATACAAAATTTTAGATTTTTATTCTGACAAAATTTTTTTGACACTGAAAGGGTTAAGTGAATAATATATGTGTAAAGTACTATCGGAATTCCACACCGTACGGACATGTTTTAGGTTTATTCGAAATATGCTCAGATTTATATAAAGCTATATATATACATATGTATATATTAATCCGATTTCATACAAATTGTTTTTACTTCGTCCATACACAAACTTTGCACAACTTATTTTATTCAAAATACGAACATCGTTTTATTTTTTTCAAACTTAAATCAAGTTCGAAGATGGGAACCACGGGCACACTCTTCCTGGTACATCCCACATAATGTAATATTTCATACTTTATAAACCTAATTTTAAAATCCAATTTATTATTAATATTCAACTAATTTTAATTTCACAAGAAAGTATACGATTATACATTTCATATGACACAATTTTCAAATGACCATTGATTTATAAGACTTTTCCCATTTTATTATGAAACTTATTTTATTAAAGAAATGCCACCGCTTCACTTGTCTGCATTGGCCATAGCCTTCTGATAATAACTCGCTATTATTCTTACTGAAAACTGCTATAAATTTCATCAACAGAGGTTTTTTTCAACAGGTTTTTGCTTTGCAATTTTCAATCATATCATTCAATAGAATCGCATGTGTTGCCAAGTACACTTTAAATAAGGGTTTCTTTATAAACAAATGTACTTTAGAGCATACTTTTAGGCGCAAATAAATCGTTACCACACTTTTTTTTAATTTTTTTATTATGTTTTATTTTTGCAGAACCTGTAAAGAAAACACAAATATATAACTAGAGTCGAAATCGATGGTCAAGGGATTGGATCGATCGAAAATTGATCAATATGCGATATGAAATTGTTCAATATGCGATATGTAATATAAAGGAAAATTTCTATCTTCGTTATCATTTCGACTGTATTTCACAAAAGTTTAGTCTCTAATATATTATTTCTGTAGTCTGAAATTCCGAAACTATGATTCTCCATTTATTGGACATAGTTTGGATAGCAGTGAATGGGTTGATAGAGCAATATGGTATTAAATATATGGAAATTGTAATCAAATGAAATTATTATATATATAGTCCACCAGCAGAAAATATAATCAAATAAATTATTCCCATTAATGTACATATATTCTTAAAGAGATATATATTTTGTTTTTTACATTTGTTGTATATTTGAAACCCTGTCTGCAAATGGTCTGATTTCAAAATATATAAAACAACCATTCCATTTAATTAAATATCAAAAAATGGCTATATATGTGGGGTTTAATGTTATGCTGAACATATTATTTAATTTTTCTTTTATTAAAAATAAATAGTTGTTAATTTAATATTTATAATAATGTTATGCACATATGTAATTATTGTTTATCATTAATTAAGTACTATATTTAAAATTAAATATAAAAATTTATTTTTTAATAAAACTAAGTTAAACACCACTTTTACAATAATAAAAACGTATTCTTATTTTTTGTTAAAAAAATAAAATAAAAACTTAAATTAATAGTTAATTGTCTTTAGAGATAACTTAAAAGGTACTTGTACGGACGGTTGTATATGAACGTTTCGAGGCACTGCGGCAGCATGCCAATAAAATCATATAGGCAAATGATATTACAAATCCCACAGAGTTAATAATAAACGAAAGGCCCAATATTGTTGTCCATGGTCCGGTGACTTCATCACAACTCAAGTCACTGAAAATTTACAAGGTGTTAAAAAACAAGATATTTGTATGAATATAAGTCGTAAAAAATCTTCCTTACCGATATTCAAATTTATAACTATTATCTAAAATGTCATCTTCTGTGGCATTTGTTGTTTCATCTTCACCAGATAATGATTCTGTTGCATTAGTGGCCATGGGTGGGGCATTAAAAGTACACACACATGAACCATGTTCGATTAGCATGTGAACACTTTCACATTTTGTATCCGAGGCTGTGATGCGACTATAATGGATGGCAGCAAAGATCAAAGCCACACAACATAGCAGTAAAGATAACAGAGCAAGAACATATGAATCCATACGTAAAAATATGAAACAATGTTCTCGTGTCTTATCACGTTTTATCCGATGATAGCGTATTAATATTAAGCCAATAATACCGGTAATAAGTAGCTGTGTAACAAGACAGACATACAAACAAATTAATAATTCGTAATTTATTTTAAATATTTTTTTTTTCTGATTTGTACCGACTTACCACTAAACCACACCAATATGGATTATTTTGTGTGGGTGTATTGGGTGATAGCACAAATATCCATATCGATAAACTTATTAATAGGATACCAATGATTATTTGTAATATTAATAGCCAGCGGGCAAGATTTGGCTGATGAAAACCCATTGGATTGGGATGTTTTATTTCTACTGAATATGTGAGAATCGAAAAATGAAAAAGAAGGAAAGAAAATTATTTAAAATGAAATTTAAAGAATTGAAAATTAAATGCAAAATTTGACATACCCTCATAGTGTTTATTACTTACGACCAGCATACGACTGTGTCGTAAACTACTTCGAGTTGGTGTATGTCGTCCAGCGATTTTATTACCTTTAATATTTTGTGGTACGGTTGTGGCCATATAGACAGTCTGAAAATTAAAACAGAAAATAAAAACAGAAAAAATGTGAATACAAAAAGTTAAATAAAGACACTTCTGGACATCATATTGTAAAGATGAATTCGATATTATCTATTACGAATACAATATACATAGGAATATACATTTGTAATCAATAATACGGAAATCTGGCCCTAAAAGTACAGATACAGATTTATAAATTTTAACATACGAATTTTAACTTTAATCCTGAATTATGTTTTCATTATACCCTCAGACTTATGGCTTATGAGGGTATACCCATTGCTACGGCTAAAATTTGTCTCCTTGAAATATTGATTTTAGACCACATACTGCTTAGTACCAAATCCGTTTCAGACATTTTGAAGGCTTGTAACGTTTTGCCGATTTGAACCAAACTTTTCACAACTTATTTTATTCAAAATACGAACATCGTATTATTTCTTTCAAACTTAAATCAAATTCGAAGATGAGAACCACGGGCACACTCTTCCTAGTACATTCCACATAATGTAATATTTCATACTTTATAAACCTAATTTCGAAACTCCAATTTATTATTAATATTCAACTAATTTTAATTTCACAAGAAAGTATACGATTATACATTTCATATGACACAATTTTCCTTTAAATATCAGCAATACGAAAAAAGTTATAGCAAAAAGAAATGAGGTATGTAATTTGTATAAACCCGTCGTCAGCGCCATCTATTGATAGACATAATTCAAATAATTTTTGTCAGATTTTTAAGTCCAACCTTCCAAACGTAAAACTTTTGAACATATAATCGCATTTCAATCAAAATGGGGGAAAAGATAATCTACTTTAGTATGAAATAAATCACAAAGCATACCAATGGAAATTATAGAAAACTTTAATTCCACATCTCATATTCAAAAATTAAATTTATTGTTATTTTACAAAAGAAAGTATGAAAATTTACCTTTCACATAACACGAATTCTATTTAATTACCAACAATAGAGCAAATGTTATACGAAAACCCAATGAGGTTTAAACTTTGCATACTCGATTTTTGAATCTACCCATTCAATAGATGGCGCTGACAAGTGTTTGCAAAATTGATTTTTTTTGTTTATTTATTTCAGAAGAAAGTATACTGCGGCACATTTCATATGACACCACTTTCATTTTAATATCTGCATAGGCCAAAAGTTATGACGACAAGAGTTACACAACTTTTAAGAAAGTGTCTTCAGTGCCATCTATTGAAGGACATGATTCAAATCAGGCACATCAGTATTTCAAAGTCTGCGTTCGAAGAGTATAACTTTTAAACAGATCATCGCACCAAAAATTAAAGAAGACGTCAATACTACATTTCATATTAAAAAATTAACTTTTTGATAATTTAAAATAGTGATGTTTAGAATGTGCGTGATCGATTTTGGATCTACCCATTCAAAATCATTATAATTATTTAATACGTTATGATACAGAAGTAACTGCAACGAATATTAATAGCTTAGAATATACACTATTTGATAGTATCCAAGTGGTTTGGCAGACTTGCCACGTTTCCGGAAAATTACTGATTTTTCTGAACAAAACAAAAGTCCACTCGCAAACAAAAGTCCACCACGAAGTGGGATACTTTTAACTCAGCTATATCTCACTCCTTGTGATAAATAAATTCGACCCAATGAAAACGGAGTTTTTGTCCTATCGTATGTATATCGAATTTTGAAAATTGTGTATTCATGTACAAGGGTTACTATATATTTCTGGAATTAAGACCCATTTTCAGTTTTGAAAAATCAATATATATCAACAGGAAATTTCAAAAACCCTTGAAGATATAATCGATTTATTGTGTATGCTACAGGTGAAACCGAGGGCGCTTCTCAACACTTTAATGTGTGATAACACAAAAACAAATCAACCAATCGATTCTAAATGTTAACACCTTCATATCTACCGTATGAACTAGGATAAATTTCCAACTTGGTTCTGGTCGAAAATGTGTGATTTTTCAAAAAATAAATTTTCATAGGTCCGCCATACTTCTAATTTTCGAGCGAAGTCAATAATCCTAGTTCATACCAGAGCCAGTTATGTAGTCTTTCTTATTGCGTTCGAATTTTGAAATTCTTTACCTGCTATGCTGAAGAAACATGCGACCTTTTGCATGGTAGTGCTTCTTCGTTGCATTGGCTCGCCTTCAAAGGCTCACACGGTCGATTGCGGATTTGTTTCGGGCTTATACGCATATATATTCGTCACTTGGGACAATCTCATGAATGGTTTTTGAAGAACTTCGATCGATTATTATCAAGATTTCTTTGTACCAATCGACACGAGCCTTTTTTTGACCTATTGTCAAATTCAGGGGGAGCCTACGAGGACCAAACATGTTTACGGTCAAGTGTCCATACAATATCGAAAGTATTCTGTCGGAAGAAATGTCTAAAGATGCCTCTATGTTTTAATGTTTAGACTTAGTCCCCTCTGTAATATAATTTGGTTTTTGTTTTTTGAAGAACTACGATCGATTATTTTCAAAATTTCATTGCACCAACCGAACCGAACATTTTGTTGGGCCTATTGTCAAATTCGAGGTGATCCCAAGAGAACATAACATTGTTACGGTGAGGTGTCCATGTGCATGCAATATTGAAAGTATTCTGGGGGAAGAAATTACTCTATGTTTTAATGTTTAGATTTAGCTCCCACTGTAATATAATCTGGTATTTCGTGGGAACATGTCGAGGATCTACTATAACACCAGTCATGGGGTATGTAATACATACATCTAAGGATATCCCATCATATAACATTCCCAAACGATTTGAGGCTTTTAATTAATACGGATTAGTAATGACTTAAAATCATTTTTTAATTTTGACATAGCTGTTCCAATATATTTATGGGGTTGTTGTTGTGAGGTTGTTATACCCTCGGTTCGGTTTTAGCTATTTTAATAAAAAAAAAACAACACATTTAAATCTAGCCTTATTCTATGAATAACTGGAATTCTCCGCCGTCGCTTAATGATACAAAACATTCCGAATATGTCTATGGAATTACAAATGATAATTTATTATTCAAATATCTCGACTTACCTGTGATCGATGTGATGCACCATCGATATCGTTCAACGATATCTGATTGTAAATTGTACCATCTGGCATTTTGCGGCTAAGTTGATCTACTGGTGGACTACTGTTATTATTGGCGGTGGCGTTTTTGTTGGCTGGCAGCGTGGGAGTTTTATTTAAATTCTGATATTCGATCGGTTTTGGCGGCAATTCTGGAGGAGCTCCAGCTCCACTGGGTGTACGAAATAATGCACTGTTTTCGGGTATATTTTGATATTTTGGTTGTGGTTTTTGTTGTTGCTGTTGTTGTACTATAGGTTGCGGTGTAACGTTTGACAATAGATTTTGTTTCGGAGATTCATTGACATCGTTGGCAAATTGATGCTGTGCCGGTGCATAACCGTTTATGCCAAAAAATTTCGATTTGGCTTCGTTAAGTGCAGCTTTCACTGCAGCAATACTGTGAATTGTTTCGTTTAGCTCGAATTGCGAATGTTGACTAAGCGGTCGTTCATTGAGTCTGGCATTGATTGTTGAATTATTTGCTGTTGTCGCTTCGGCTAGAGCGGCAATTGGTGGTGCAAGCGGTTGGACGGGCAGTGGTGGAGCTGATGATGACGATGTTGTTGTTGGTGTTTTTGTTGCTGCAGTCGTCGTTGGTGATAATGATGACGTGAATGTATTTCCTATACTGGCTTCTGATGCTGTTGTTTTTGCTGCTGCTAAAGGCGAATATCGAGGTGGAGATGCAGTTGTTGTTGTCGTTATTATGGCTGGTTTGGTTATTGGCGTATTGGCCATTTTATATGGGGTAGAGTATAAAGCGTTCACTGTATTGGGTGGTGGTGATATTTCATTCAAGTTCCGATGATTTCCATTCAGCAATGCTGGTGGGGTGCTGCTCGTATTCGTATTATTGTTGTCATTAAACTTAAATGTTATATCGGTAAAGGGTGACGAATGTGCTGCTGCTCCATTTGTTTTGGACGGTGGTGGTGATGACGTTGCCGACAACGACGACGACATTGTCACTGGTTCGTTTAGTTTTGTTTTAGGTGTGCTCGTTGTATTAACATTATTGGTCATATTCAGATTGTCATACATGCTGATCGGTCTGTCATCATAGGTTGTTGTATCCATTATTTAATTTTGTTGATGTTTTTGTAGTTTAGTCGGTTGGGGTATTTTTTTTTGGGTGGTTGTAATTAACCGATTTTTGGGGGGAAATTTTGTTTTGTAAATGTTTCTTTGTTGTTATAAATTTTGGAAAAAAAACGACGGGAAAACTCAATTTAATTTTTGTGTGTGCGTATCGGCGGCGGTAGGCAATGTTCCCAATTGTTCTCCACTTTAATGGAATTATTTGGCGGTGATGTGATTCATTATTACAAGGTTTATTCATCTGGAAATAAATATAAACAGAGTATTATTTTAGTATATAATCATATTTTGTTTGTTTTGGTTTTGCAAATGGGGGATTAATGATAAAATTAAATAAAATAAATATACGAAAGTTGGGTACAGTGGTCAGCATACATGTATTTTTTTATTAATAAAAGAGCAAAGTGATTGAATGACTTCCGAAATGACTTTGTCAACGCTCAGACGAAACGGCTGAAGCCAGTATGAAATTTGGGATGAGGGTCACTCTTGGTCCCAAGGTATCACATAAGGCTGAGTTTTCGGGAATTCGTACCATACGTTTTTGGCGAAACGAAGGAACTAGAACTCTTAAATATTAAATGAGGGTCATTTATGGAGTGTAGGATACCAAAGGAGTGTAGGATACCAAAGGATATCAGAAAAGTACCAAAATGTATTACATTTGACACAATTTGATAACATGTGAATGGATAGAGTTAAAAACTTTAAAGTTAGAATAGGAATTGAGTTTGAGAAGTAGGGTCGATGTAAGGCGGTGGTTTTGGTAGTGTGTACTCATGTATACGGAAAGTACTAAATTTGGTACTATATGAATTTGGAGGAATGGATGGAGTTGGAATCGTTAAATTAATTAACGTTCAGGGATTCGGATATGTATTTACTTTTGCAAAATATATTTGTGTACGAGACGTACTAAATTTGGTACAATATGAATTTTGGGCCGATATACAGTAAAACTCAAAATTGGTAATAAAATTACTACTGCATTGTAGAAGTGATGTAGGTAGTTTTGGCAATTCACATTTATGTGTAGTAAATGGTACTATATTTGGTACAATTCGAATTTTGGATGAACCGATAGAGCTGGAATCCTGAAATTTGGAATTAGTTTCGTATTCGGTATATAGCTACTTTGGGAAATTTGTACTTATGTGTACGAGAAGTACTAAATGGTACTAATTTTCTTACAATATGAGTTGTGGACCAATAGACTGGAACACTGAAATTTGGAAATATAGGAAATGAACCGATAGAGTTAGAATTCTGATTCGAAGTTAGGATCACTGTTGGGGTATGTAGGATGTTTTGAAAATTTCTATCAAAGTGTACTAAATGGCACTAAATTTGGTACAAATAGAATTTTGTATAAAACGATAGAGTTGAAATCCTGGAATTTGTAATTAGGATTGTACTTATGGGTACTAAATAGTACCATATTTGGATTTAGGGTAAACCGATAAAGCTGGAATATTAAAAAATTGGAATTAAGATTACTCTTGGAGTGTACAATCAAGGTATGTAGGTAGTTTTGGAAATTCGTACTTATGTGTGCTAAATGGTATTAAAATTTTGTACAATTAGGATTTAGGGTAAGCCGATGGGCCTGAAATTGGGAAAAGGGACATCTATTGGATTATATATTGTAAGTAGTAATGAAAATGTGTACTTATGCGTACTTACTTAATGGCACTAAATTTGATACAATATGGATTTTGGTGATCCGATAGAGCTCGAATCCGGAATTAAAATTACTGTTGTAGTGTAGGATGGATGTAGGTTTGGAAATTTGTACTTATTGGTACTAAATTGTATCAAATTCAATACATTTTGGTTTTTTTTGTGAACCGATAGGACTGGAATCGAGAAATTTGGAATAAAGATTAGTGATAGCTTTTTGAAGTTGGTAGATATGGAAATTTATATTAATGTGTACAATAATTTCTATTGAATTGTTGAGGTGTGGACTTATATTGATGAGGTGCATATTGAACTTGACATTTTAGCTACAACACCTTGAAATAGATGTCGGAGATAATAATTATGATAATTATGGCCAGAAACTATAAAAAGAGGGTACCTTTTGATCTCCCTGATATTATTCGGTTATCCATTACAGATTATAGTCACACAAACCGACAAGCGATTCAGTCGATAAAATTCATTAGTCTTTGAAAGAACTTCTAATGACTGTCATGTTTTACTTAGTACTAAGAAATTTAAGCCCAGTTTAAATGGTTTCCGATGGTCAGTTTAAATGGATTCCGATGGTTAGTGCCGTTAAGTACCATTGAATTTCTCATGGAATATTGCAAATGGTTCAAATATTGTCTTAATCTCAACGAATTCATTTATTTGGTAGCTGTCCGACTTTCCTTTTTTTTGAAGAAATTACTTCAAAAGTCTAGGCCTAGGACGGACCTTTAATGCATTATAAACATAGTTTAATGAAACATACAAATATTCCCACTCGACTTTTTTAATGTACTTTTTAATTTAAGCAAAAATACCACAAAAATATTTGTAAATATATATCCACCTTGTTGACTACACTTCTCTGAATCAGTTATAAATAAAAACATGGTTTTATCGATTGTTTGTCGGTTTCCTCCCTCCCCCACACACTCACACAATTAGTATGCAAAACAACATTGATCAATTCTGAAAAAAAAATCTGGTGATACTTTTATTATTTCAGTTCATTAACCACAACAAAAAAACATAACAAATCCATAAAAACATTTAACATACCACAGACAAAGCAACAAAAAAATCTAAATAAAATAAACACAAACAAATCTATCGAGAAAATAGAGAAATTGACATGAAAATACTTTGGAAATACATCGTACACATGTATGTATTGAAATAAAAACAAAACCAAAAATGAAAACATGCGTAACACTCGATATTGCTAATAGTTGGCTAAAAAACAACAATTGGCTAAAATAGATCAGTGAACATTCCAAACGAAACAAAAACAAATGCTGTAACGGATCGTGTGACGTTTGCTTAATGGCGTTTATTTCATATACACATACTCGTATATATGACATATTTAGATTTTTATTAGAATAGTCACCGCGCCTAATGTGATATGGTAATAAATTTGTTCCGTTTGACATAGAAAATCTGAAACAAATAAATAATGTTTACGATTGTCTCCGCTATGGTGATGGCGGCGGAAGAAATAAATCGGCACAGTGGTGAACAATAATTTTTAAATTAAATTATTCCATACAATTTGACATTTACTTAACACTATATTTATATTTGACTCATTTCAAATATTATAACTACATACATTTAAAACTTTAATATTAATTTTAAAAATCATACATTGGTTTTTAGTTACCCCGCAGACCCCCTACATTTCGAAGTATTAAATGTTGTATACATATTTTTACGATTGTGAGTCAGTTTGACTCATATTAGTCGTTTATTTTGAAAGTGGTTTAAGTCCATTTTAGGTTCTGATACATATCTTGGTTTTCTAGTAATGTTTACAAAACATATTACGTTATATATTCTACCATGTTTTAGAACACAAACAAACTTAACACTTGACAATATTTTTGAAACAAGTCAAATCAATACTTAAATATCTCAATATAAGAATACATGGACTTAATCCACTTTCAAAATAAATGACGCATATAATGGTTTAAAGTTATGCGGTTAATTTTTACACCATTTTTGAAATTCATTGGTCCTATCAGGCCTAGATAACATTGAAGTAGCACATAGGCTATAAATCTATGAAGTAAAAATTGAGAAAAATCGATATTTTGACAATTTGTGGAAAAAGTACCTCGGGAAGTGGATACATAGAACCTATTTTCGGAAGGATCTATTTTCCCTTTTTTATAGTTTTAAAACCTTTGGGATGTTAACAGTAGGAATTGGTAAAAAATATTATTTACAAATGATATTCAGTAAATTTAAATTTACAAATGTTATTTTTTCCATATTCAGATCCAAAAAAGTTTGAACATGCTTTAGGTTTGGAAGAAATATTACGATGTGCATAGTTTGGATTTAATCTGCAACATCTTTCGAGAGTTATCTTGCGCACCAAGCAGCTTGACACACATTTACCAGACGGACAGATACTTAGGGCCATAGGGCTGAGTGTGTAGAAATTTATTTTATATTTATAAACATCTATTAGTTCTTTGATCATGAATATTTTATTTAAGAGGATTCCCACTGTAGGTTTCAAAAAATTCTATTTTGTGTGTTTGATTTAATTCGAACCTACACTAATTCAAAAATGTCCCTAAAAAATTTCAAGTGAAAATCTCATTTTCAATTTCCCTTAAATTAAATTTCTGGTATGAGTGAAATTGGCTCACATCCGTAAAAGTAGAAATTCTATCGAGGTGATCCTGAAGAAACAGCAAACTGGACGCTTGGTTAATCGAAAAAAGTTAAATCCAATGTTTTATATTAGAAGATTTTCTATGGTAAGTACCTCCTTTCCTTCGGTCAAACTGGCATGTTTTACTTGAGCAAAGTAGGACGTTCAGTTCTGACATGTATGTCTGAAGTCTTGGGAATTTTCAAAATAACGAACAAGAGAGGAAAAAGTCATTGAAAATTCGAGCTCCCCCACATCGGCTCTAACCGGAGCGTTTCTGACTCCCCATAAAGTGCAATTGATGGGCTATCCGCTGTACAGCCCTGATTGATGCACAACAACAAGAAATGTGTGGTTTACTGGTATATAATGACTATTATCACCTCGACTATAAATATTCAGATCGTCTTTAAAGGGACATTTCAGTTTAATTATACAGATGTTCTTCACATCGCTCTTCTGCTTGAATATAAAGACTTTCTTCACCTCTTTTTAAAGGTTCCTTTCAACTCGGGCTAAAAAGACTCCCTTCAGCTCGCTTTTTAAAGACTCCCTTCAGCTCGCTTTATAAAGACTCCCTTCAGCTCGCTTTAAAAGACTCCCTTCAGCTCGCTTTATA